GGGCACAAACTGAAGCAGAGGAAGCTCCAGCTGAAGATGAGGAAGAACTTCTTCCCTCTGAGGGTGACGGAGCCCTGGCCCAGGCTGCCCAGGGAGGCTGTGGAGTCTCCTTCTCTGGAGATATTCCAGCCCCGCCTGGATGCGGTGCTGTGCAGCCTGCTGTGGGTGACCCTGCTTGGGCAGGGGGTGGGACTGGGTGACCCACAGAGGTCCCTGCCAACCCCTGCCATCCTGTGATTCTTATTATTCTCAAACTAAACATTGTGGCTGCACCCTCACTGCATTTTCCTTCCTTAGGTAGAGCAGCATCTCGACTCACTTGAGAGATCCCGTCCGACGCCGAGGGCCAGCCCGTCCTTAATCCACAGCACGATGCCATTGTACTCGGGGATGGAGCACAGCAGCGTCACCGGCTGCCCCGCGATCACCACCTGGTCCTGGGGCTGCTGCGTGAAGGACGATGCTTGACCTGGAGAGGGGACCGAGAGAGAAAGAGGAGGTTTGTCAGCTCTCCGGCGCTTTGCATCAAAAAACATTGAAATGTGTTTTCCTCCCTGGGGAAAAAAGACAACGTGGCCAGGAGCTGCCCGGCCTTTCCTCTATTTTATTCCCAATTATGGCGCTAGTCTTTTGGCCATCCTGACCAGCAGATAGCAAAGCAGCAGGCTTGCAGGAAGCAGTAATATTTTGTGTTATACTTCATAAAGAGGACACTGGTCCTCTGCTTCTGAGGCTCGCTCCCACCTCTAAAACCAGGAAACACAGTTAAGAACCCGCCACAAAACACACAGGGAAACAACAGTTCCCTCTTCTCCCAGAGCGTAACCTACTTGTATCTGCTGGGAGCTTCACACACGCACCTGGAGATGAAATGAAGCAACAGCCTTGGTTCAGCACTGCTTTTTACCCAAGTTTCCTCCTCAAACTCACAAACCACCCAACCCTAACGAGCCAAGCTCATCAGCACGACACCTACCCCCTTGGTCGACGCAGGTGGACCAAACGCTGTGGTTTCTCTCCTCTCTCCTCACCCTGAATGCTGCAAGAACAATCCCAAGCCCTCGGGTCACCTCCCGCCGCGGCGAGACGTCTCACACCTCAGGTGCGAGGTGGGACTTCTCGCTTCCCACCCAGAGCGCTCCGACGCAGCAGAACCCCTTCCCCATCACGGTTTGCTAAGCACGGGGCGATGGTTTATTTTCGCTCTTTGAACCACGTCGCCGTTCCTCGGCTTCGCCGTGATCGAGAAACACCGAGCGTTCACGCCGTCTGGTGTTTGATTTCGAAAACGAGCGCTTTGCTTTGCCGTCAGGCGAGGTGGGAACCACACGGCCCATCCCCGTGGCCAACAGAGACGGGGCCACGTGGCAGCGCGGCGCCAGCTCGCTCCCTCCTTTCTTGCTGAGAAAATAAGAAAAGCAAGAACAAACGCTGACAAAGCGCCCCTAAATGAAATAAACCTCGGGGATATCTTCAAGAAATGGCTCGTGGTGCCACGAGCCAGCACCTTCACCTCTCAGGTACAGCCTAATGGTGGAAGGTCCTCAACGCAAGGCCGTTTCGGGCTGATCAGCCGCTATCTGGGCGCTTGGTGAGCGTGGTCCTTCGTGTTGGGTATTTGTGGAGCATCCGAACGGCGCTGTCGCTTGCCAGCTCTTCACGGCTCGCTTCTCCCCTGGATCTAGGGGAGACCTCGCAGCTCAACTCCTTTCTAAATGAGTTGTTGGGCTTTGCCTACGGGGCAAAGCTACAAAGCTCAATCACCCCCTAACGTGTGCAGTTAAACCAATGCAGTTAAACCAATGCATGCCCCCACACAAACCCTTATATTTCAATTTAATTTATTCTAGCTTAACTTCAGCTTGCTCTCAGCCAGCTGAAGATGCGCAGGGAAGAGCAGAGCCACCCTTTCTAGATTCCTACTGGTTTATGCCCACCGGGTTAAAAAGCTCTGCTGAAATTTTCGCCAATCTCCCTGACCCAGGTGCACCTTCAGCACCCTGTTCCTGGGTGTTCTGGGGGTCCTGGCTCTCCCAGCACCCCCGTAAAATCTGCTTTTTGTCACACGTGCCCCAAAAGGCGACGGTGGCGGCTCTCAGTGCGGTGCAGGACAAGTTCATTCCAGGGGAGATTCCAGGCACTGGAAGTCACGGTGGCCTCCGATACCAGCTGAAACCCTTGCTCTGCTGAATTAAGATTTAGAAATTTGGTTTCAAAGGGAATATTAATCAGCTCTGTATTTTTTTTGGACTCACAGAGGACCAGCACTTCCCTAGTATCCTACTAAAGTGGCGACAAGAAAGAAAATTAGGAAAGTATGCAAGAAAAACAGTCAGCATTTTGCTCTCTGGTTGTTTTTTTTCTTTTTATATATATTTTCCACCCGCTAACTCTGTTTTCACGGCTCGCTCCGTAATCTTGACAACTCTTAAGGCAAGCTGGGACAGCGCCGGAACGCAGCAATAACCCAAAAAGATTGTTTTATCGGCGAGAATTATCGGGTTGTCAGCTGGGAGCTGCAAGAGGCGTAATGAGGAAGCAGAAGCACAAAGCGGTGTCCGCGCCCTCTGAAAACGTCCATTAAGCAGAGGCTTCATTTGGTAATTGCTGTTGGAAATGAAGCCCTTTTTTGGGTTTTTTCTTTTTTTTTTTTCATTTCTTGGTTTGTTTTAGAGAGCAGCTGATGGCCATGGAAAATCAGAGCAGAAACATGGCATATGGCTCCTGTCTTTTCCTTCTCTCTGTTTGTTTGCTATGAAAAATTGTCACTTGAAACCATTTTTTTTTCTGTCCAAGGCTCTGTCTCAGCTACAAACAGCTCAGACTCAGAAGCAGAGAGATGGGGGTAAGGACCTCCAGAGCATTACCCGGCCCAGCCCCTGCTCCACGGCAGGATCAGCTCTCCCTAAATCACAGATAAAAAAGCAGCAAAAAAAAATAACAAAAGTACTGAAGGCAGAGCTCAACCAGCTTTCAAATCAGCTTAAGGTCTGATTACTGGGTTTAACTGGGTTTGGGAGATCAGAGGCCCGTCCACGTTACAGCTTTCAGCCGTCTTCTGTCTTAATGTCAAAGGAACAGGTAATTTGCAGCAAAGTTTGAAGGGAGATCAGGGGCTTGGCAGAAAATAGCTGGAAATGGGGAGACTGGGAGAGGGTGATTTACAAACGCAGGCTGAGCGGTTTCAGCTACAAGAAAACGGGCTGAAACACGTCAGCTGGGTACTTATCCCACCAACGTTTACAACATTATTACAAAATGGAGCTTTGGTTTCAAAGCAGGGTGGTTCGACTCCAAGGACTACCCAAAACACTGTATGGATCACACAAGACGCTGTTGGTCAACCAGAAGTTTCCCCTTCTCTCCCAAAAAAACAAATAAAATCCGTTTTTAACTACAAGCTGGCTTCCCTAATCCAAATCCTTGCAGAGGTCGGCGTTTGGACCACAAGAGCCCGACCAAGAGTCCAGGCAAGGTGCCCGCAGCAGCCATCAGCCACCCAGCACCTTCCTCTCACCCCCCAAGGGAACCAGTCCCCCCACCCAAGCGTAGCCCTGTTTTACACCCCGTTTTTCCCTCTCACCAAGCAGCTTGGCGTATTTTCAACGGAAGAACAAACCCGGCTGACGCTCGGCTTCCGGCAAGCGTCGCTGGGAGCGGCTCGGCACCGACCCTGCCCCTCCAAGAGCACCTTCCACAATTCATCCAGCAGAAGAGACGTGCCGAGCCGAAGCAAATATCAGGACTCTGAATTCCTCTTGGATTTTTCTTTGTTTGTTTGAAAACAAAAGGATGTGTAGATGAGATGCTTGGCCGCGTTCCAGCGCGGTGGCAAAGTCCCACCCGCGCTCTCCAGCTGTCCTTCTGTCGACCTCCTATAGTAGATGGGGGCTTGGGTGTCAGAGAAGTCGGGAGAGGCTCTTGATCTCCAGGCCTCACCTTCTCCTGGGTGCTGGCTTTGCTTTGCTCCCCGAGGAGCTGTTTACGCTGCCAGACGACGGCGTGAGCTGTTTTCTGGCCCCGCGATCGCAGAATCACAG